GAGGTGGGAGAGTCTCTGAGCTACTGGGCTGCCCTGAGCACAGTGACAAATAGGACAGGCCACAGTGGTCTAATGAAGCCAGCTGAGTTGTCAATACCAAAGCAGGTCTGGCACCATTTAAAACCTTTCCCAAGCTGGGCGTGGTGTTGCACACCTGTAATCCCAACACTCGGGAGGCTGAGGCAGGAGGATTGCTGTTAGTTCGAGACCAGCCTGGGCTACATAGTGAGTTGCAGACCAGTCTCAAGTACATAGTGAGACCCTGCCTCAAAAAACAAAACAAAAAATAATAATAATAAATAAATAAAAATAAATAAAATCTCTCCCAGATCCTCCTCAGCTGACTCCTGTGCCTATTTCCCCTGTCAGGCTTTGTGACCCTCCACGCTAGGCTGGCTCCTATGCAGTGTCAGCGTCCAACTCATTTGTGGCCTTGCGATGATTTACTTCAACATATAGAATCATTTGTGTAGTATGTGGCTTCCTGAATACACTGTAAGCTCTCCATGGATGAGATCTGAGTCCGTTCAATTTACCCTTAGCTCCTGTGCCTGGTACAATGCCAAACACATTATAGGGACCCAGTAAGTGTTTGTGGATTACCCTGCGGACAGTGAGGGATCAGAAGACTCGAGTTCTAGATTTAGCTTTGCCCTTTAATTGGCAAAGGTTTGGGACAAGCCCCTTAATCTCTCTGATAGCCTTTAAAACAACAGAGTTGAATACTCTTTTGAAGAATTCACATTTTACTAGTTAGATGAAACCAGCTCTGCTATCATAGCTCTAAGGAGATATTTTATAATCTTACAGTGTGAAACATAAAACAAAACTAAAATATCCAAACACTGGGTTATGCATTTCTGTCTGCACATGTGAGGGGAGCTCAGAGAAGGCAGCTGGAAAAGCTGCCAAAGCTTCCTGGAGGAAGATGATGGAGTTTGAGGAGATGAAGAGACAGGAATACCTTTCTGGTGGAGGAGAAAGCACAGGCAGGTTACCACTGAGAGTAATCAACATTATCTTAGGTAGTACATGAGACTCTTTTATAGCTCTATGTTCAGGTAATAGCTATATGTGTGATCTAATGGCTATATATTTGATAGCTTTACATTTAGTAGATATACATTTAATAGGATGTTTATTTTAATATATATTGGGGAAACTGAATGAGCACATCAAAGCCATGATATAAAACTTTCTTTTAAAATAAACTTATTGGTCAGACAGTAAGTCTATTTAAGGAAAAGTATTAAGTAAATAAAAACTATAGATGGCTCTCAGGGCAAAAACTCAAGTTGACATACAAATAGTTGAAAAAATTCGATCTTAAGAAAATACGTGAAGTTGATGACAATGAACCACTCCTGAGGAAGGCACCCTCAACTCCCCGTTTCTCAGTGAAGGACTCTAGACCAAAGTTGTTCAGTCCCTCTTTCCAGCCCTGTGATACTTACTCAGCAATGTCCAATAAATGTGTGGAGAGGTAAATGTAAGCCAAGCCCACTCCTGGGTGACTGGTACCAAGATCCCTGCCTTTGTGGACTAGGGAGAAATGCAGTAAACAATAAACCAAATAACTAGGGAATGGATTGTGAACATTAGAAGGCAATAAGAGCTAATGGGGGAAGCCAGGTGTGGTGGCGCACGCCTGTAAACCCAGCGCTTGGAAGGCTGAGGCAGGAGGATCGCTGTGAGTTAGAGACCAGCCTGGATTACATAGTGAGTTTCAGGTCAACCCTGTCTCAAAAAAACAAAAACAAAAACAAACAAAAAGCTAATGGGGCATATGAATGAATGATTAGGGGAGGGCTTGCAATTCTAAATGGGGTGGTCAGCTCAGGCTGGGCTTCAATGGGAAGGCAAGATCTGACCAATGTAAGGATACAGAAGAGTGAGCCATGTGGCTAACTAGGGGAAGAATGTTCTGGGCACTCCTGAGTGCCAAGGCCCATGCCTAAAGAAGGGGCACACTGCTGTGCCACAGGGAAAGCAAGGGAGCTGAGGAAACAGGTGCAGAGGAAGTAGGAGCCATTGCAAGGTTTGGACAGGGGTAGCATGGTCTCTCTAGCCTTGTTAAAGGGTTGCCTTAACTGCTGTGTTGAAATAAGGCAAGAGCTGAAGTAAAGAGACAGGTTAGGAGGCTACTGCAACAAACCAGGCAAGGCATGATGGTGTCTCAGGCAGAGTGGTACCATAGCAGTATTAAAAAGAATACTGGATACATTCTAAAAGTAGATTAATCTAGTTTCTCTGCTCTGTTGGAAATAAGTGTAAGAGGAAGAGTCAGCATGATAACAAGACTGTTGGCTTGAGCAGCTGGAAGAATGGAGTTACCACTGACAAAGAAGGCTGCAGATGGGGCAGGTTGCAGGGATGCAGGGTCAGTTGAGTTTGAATGTGTTGTATTTTAGGAGAAATCTATGACACATTCAAGTGAAGGCATCCAGGAGGCAATTGGTTGTGTAGCTCTGAGTTTGAGAGAAAGAGGTTCTGAGCTAAAAATACAAATCTGAAAGTCATCAACATTTGAAGCCCAAGGTTGGATAAGATCACTAAGGATGTAAACACAGATAGAGGAGGAGGAAAAAAAAGACCAAATATAGAACTTTGGTGCATCCCAATATTAATTCATTGGAGAAAAGAGATGGAGGAGACAAACTAAGAGAGGGGGGTACCCTGCAAGGCAAATAAAATGTGCTTTTAGGAGGAAGAGAGTTGAACTGTATCAGATGCTGCTGAAAGAAAGTGAATATGTGGCTCTTGGGGTGCCTCAGTGACTTTGACAAAAGCACTTTAGGTGAAGGAGTAAAATAAAAGCCTGATTAAAGTGGGCTTTAGAGTGAATGGAAACGAGAGGATCTGGAGACAGTGAGTACAATCCTTTCAAGAAATTTGCCAAAACTTCAAAGAAATGCAAAGAAATGGATTGGGACAGTAGAGTGAAGAAAAAGTTGAGCTGGAAGAAATAACACATTTGTGTGTGGAGGGGGTGATCCAGAAGAGTCAATAACTGGTGAAAGAAAGAAAAAGTGGGGGGCAGGGAAGAGGGAGGGAGGAAGGAAGCTTGCTAGAGGAACGTCCTGGAGAAGATTACACGAGGTGGAATCTGGAACAGAAGTGGAGGCTGGACTTTAATAAGACCCTGACAGGGGCTGACTTAGCTCAGTGGTACCACTGCCTGCCTCACAAGCACAGGGCCCAAGTTTGATCCCCGGTACCAAAAAACAAAAATAAAATAAATAAAACATTGCCAGCTTATCTGTGTCAGGGATTGGCAAACTCCTATAAAGGGCCATGCACTAAAATATCTGTAAACAGTTTGGGCTTTGGAGGTCAAATGGTCTCTGTTATGACTGCACAACTCTCTCGTTGTAGCACAAACAATGCCATAGACACTGCATAAGGGAATAGACGTGGACAGGGCAGGCTGGATTTAGCCCTTGGGTGGCAATAGACAGGGAGTCAAAGCACAGGCAGATGCTGGTAGGTAGACATGTGGAGAGCCTGGAGGTTCCTTTCTCGGGGAGGAAGATCCCCACCTGAGATGAGAAATGTGGAGAAAATGGAGGCACAAGGGGAAGTTGGCAGGGTTAAGACAGTTGTTTAAAAAAGATGGAAACTGAGTGGACTAAGGACTGGTAATATAAGTGCCTGTCAGTTAAAGCTCACTCGAGGTTTCTGGCAATTAATTTAAAGAGGGACTAGTCAGCATGACTCATGGGATTTTCTCCAGTTACATTCAGACCCTTTCCAGAATGTAATGAAAGCTATAGACTTGTCAATTCCCTTAGTCAAGATAACCAGGAACAAAGTTAAATTTATTGACTGCAACCATGAGACAGACACCATACACCACTGGGACCATGAGTCTTCTAAGTAAGAAGGTATTAGAAAAGACATAGGAGGGCTGGGGATTTAGCTCAGTGGTGCCACCACCTGCCTTGCAAGCGCAAAGTCCTGAGTTCGATCCCTAGTACAAAAACAAACAAAAACTACCATTTGGACTCATAGTAAATTATTTTGAGGAAAATTCAAGGCAGTGGACCTTTACTCTAGACTGGATGCTGTAGAAGAGTAAAGGAGGTGATTGGTTCTACAGTGGGCACCTTGATTCTTTTCTAGCTGGGAGAAAGGAAGCAGCACTCACATTAGCTAGGAAAGGGGGATGTGTGGTTATTTCTGTGGTTTCAACATTATTCTTTTTGATCAAACATTTTTCTTTGTCTTGATCCATTTTGTCTGATGTTGGGGTTTTGTGACATCAGACACTAACACCACAGCCCAACTCTCTGCAACAGGCCAGCTCCGAGAGACACCAAGGCTAACCTCCAATGTCATGAGCTGCTCTTTTCTCCAGGAAAACACATTCACACACCAAGCACACATATGAGTCTCCCCGAAAGTCCATGCAGGGCCCTCATGATGGAAATACCTGTCACAAGGGCCAGGAATTTAGCAGCTAAAATTGCAGGGTCTCAAAACCAGCCTGGATTGTTTCTTTGGCTTTTTCCCTTGCTCCTGAAAAGACATCAATTCTATATGTTTAATGTGATATGAGAAATCCATCACAAGAGACATGATCTTTAACTCTGATTAGAAGAATAAGGGCTGGGGATTTAGCTCAGTGGTGCTGCTGCCTGCCTTGCAAGAGCAAGGACCCAAGTTCAATCCCCAGTATGCAAACAAAAAAAAAGAAAGAAAGAAAGAAAAAAAGAAAATATTCCTTTATGCCTTAAAATGAGAAAGAAAAGGAGGAAAAAACACAGAAGAGAGAAGAGGAAGAGGAGAAGAACAGAGAGAAAATAAGGGGGGACAAAGATGAAGGATTGGGTTTTAAGACAAGATGAGAATTCCATTTCTGAGAACCTTCTGGAAGCTTCTCAGCTGGCAGGTTCACCATCCTCACAGACGTGTTGGCAGAAACAGATCTATTCCTTGGAACACAGTATCACTCCGCTGTTTCCATCATTATAATCAGATATATGCATGTTACATACACTGCTGTGAATTATATAACCAACATGTCTAAACCAGAAAGCACCCTCTCATCCAATCCCTTTATCTTCACCTGGGAAAACTGAGGTGGGAAGAGCTGCTTGTCTGTGGTTCTGGTGCTATTACACAAAGGGCTGGGACACAGCCCAGGCCCTCTGATTCTCAGCCCATTGTTCTTTCTGCCACACGGATCAGCAGAAGTTACAGAGAAATAAGATTTATGCTCCCTGTGAAGCAGCACGTTCTTATAGCCAGAGTTGGGTAAAAATAGAGTAGGGCTCTCAGAGAGGCCAAGTGCCTTGCTGCTGGGGACATCTAAGCCAAGGCTCCACCTTCCAGGAATGTGGCAGAGGCCATTCAAGGTGGAAGGCTGGCCCTGAGGACAGCCCAGTGTTCCTTCAGCTGTGACAGGGCCACGCAGAGTCTACTTGAAAGTAGAAAACTAAATAAACATCTACTTTACTTTTTTAAGTCTGTTTTCACACCTGAAAAATGAAAAGTATAGTAATTCCCAACTCAGAAGATTTCTGTGAGCCTTAAATAATACAGATAATGCATGTAAAATGATGAGCACAGTGCCTGGCACACACACAAAAATAATTTCTTGTTGGCTAATCATATGTCCTGAAGCACGCCATAGGTGATAAATTCAATATATTTTTGCTTGTGAAAGTCCTACTTTGAATTATTGACATTTAAGGGAAATATTGACATTTAAAGGTTCCCTAGAGATTCATCTACTGATGAGGGAAGAGGCCCAATGACAGCAAGGACTCACGGAGGATTTCACCCCGAAGTGGGCCAGTCACAGCAACAGGCTCCTCTTTCAGGGTTGGCGTCCCGGTGTCCCACCCAGCAGCTGGGCCTCACAGGCGCCATGCTTGCAGACAAGCAGAGACCAGAGCCTGGGTGGGTAGCAGAGTCCAGGGCTAGCATTTCTAACAGATGACATGAGAGAAATTAGATGAAAGGGTCGGATGAGAGAAATCCGAGTTTGTTGTTTGGCCGGAGTTCCGCATGCGCGCTTGTGCGCATGCGCCTGTGCGTGCGTGCTTGTGTGTGTGCGTGTGCGTGCGCGTGTGCGTGCGCGCGCGCCTGTGTGTTCAGGATGGGGTATAGGTGGAAGGCGGTTGAAAATGAGACAAGCGAAATTGGAGTTGAGGAATGGATTGCGCGACTTAATAATATTTTTTCCAAAGCCTAGGAAGTTAGACCAGGAGTGGACCCTAATTCTCGGAGAGCTGAGGAAGAAGAGAAAGGAGGAAAGCTCAGAGTTGGACGAGAACACAGAAAGGTTCCTTGGGTCAGGTGGGCCTTGGGGCAGCGTCAGTCATCATTCACCCCGTTCTCCTCACCTCCTCTAAAGTCAAAAGAAAAGGCTGAATGGCGTCTGTTTGTTAATTAAACGCTGGGTGTGGAAATTAAAATGGACCGTTGGTTTGGCCAGCGGAGCAGAGACACAGACAGATGAGCTGACAGAGACAGACACTGACAGAGACGGGCATTCTTTCTGCTGTGGGGAAATGCCATGGTGAAGAAGTGAGATGCTAAACCGTGAGACAGAAAAGCCGTATTGCTGACCAGAAACCAGTGTTTAGGGAGCCAGAGTTTATTTCTCTGTAACTCTGCTTATCTGTGTGGAGCTGCCCTGGCTTTTAGAAAGTTCCTGAGCCTCCTCTAGCCTCCACACGTCCATCTATAAAGTGGGAGTGGGTCGCAGCCCTGAGGCTTGGAAGGATTAGAAAACGGTGAGCACCAACTGAGGACAGCACCATCTGCACGGCAACGCGGCTCTCAGAGTTCCTTGTGCCTCGTTCTCTTTTGGAAAGCAGGTAATAATTTCCTCCCAGCCTAATTTATAGATCTGATGCAAGGATGAAATAAGGTCAAAGAAGTGAAGAACCTGTAAACGGGACAGTTTTGAGCACAGGTGTTCATAGCATCAATAACCACAGGCATCTCTGCGCTGTGATACCATAGGCAGAGACTACTTGGCATGCTCTTAAAAGCTTGGAGAAAGGCCACTATCTAAAAAAACAAAAGCAATCCCCCCAGGCCTCCAGCTTCCTTGTTAACTCTTCTTTGGTCCTGGAGGCTGCCATCCTGGGTGCAATGGCCAACAAAGTAGGTCCCCTGCCATCAGTGTCCACATCACCTGGGAGCCTGTTAGAAACAGAGATTCTTTAATTTAGCTCAGTGGCACCGTGCCTGTCTCGCAAGCCCAGGGTCCTGAGTTTCATCCCTGGTACTGGAAAAATAAAAAAGGAAACAGAGATTCTTTTTTTTTCTCTCATTGAGTTTATTGGTACATTTTAGGTATACAGTACAGTTACACTCATCATTGGGATCTTATACCTTTACATGACAGGTCTTTTTTCTCATTTTTTCCCCTTGTCCTTGCCCTCCCTTTGCCCCCTCCTACCCTCCCCATTTACAAACACTTTAGGGCCGGGGATTTAGCTCAATGATTCTGCCGCCTGCCTTGCAAGCACCAGGACCTGAGTTCGATCCCTGGTAACAACAACAACAAAAAATACCAACACTTTATTTCCATTGTTTCATATTTTTTTCTTTTCCCTTATCACCTTTCCCCTACCCTTCCCACTTTCCCTACACTGTTAGCCCTTTTCTTCCTATTTCACATTGTCAATTATATCATTAGGATCTTATGTACCACACCAGAGAAACTTTTCGGTATTTACACATGTGTGATCTATTTATTTCACTTAGGAGTATATCCTCAATATGTATCCATTTTCCTATGAATGAATCTCATTTCTCATTCCTTATGGCTGAATAGTATTCCATTTTATAGAAAAACCACATCTTCTTTATCCAGTCTCCAACTGATGGGGAAATGGGCTGTTTCCAAGTTTTAGCTATTACAAACTGTGCTGCTATAAACATAGGTGTGCATATGTCACTGTGATATGGTTCTTTTAATTCTTTTGGAAAGATACCCAGCAGAGGGATGGCTGGGTCAAATGGAACCTCTAGTCCCAGCTCTTTGAGGTATCTCCATATTGATTTCCATAGTGGTTGCCCCAGTCCACACTCCCACCAACAATGGAGAAGGGTTCCTTTCTCCCTACAACCCCACCAACATTTGGTATTGTGTGATTTCTTGATAGCAGCCATTCTTTGTGGGGTGAGGTGGAATCTCAGTGTTGTTTTCATCTGCATCTCTCGAATGGCCAGTGATGTGGAACATTTTTTCATATATTTACTTGCTGCTTTTACTTTTTTGTCTGAGAAATGTCTGTTCGTTTCAGATGCCCATTTTTTAATTGGGTCTTTATATTTGGGGGGGTTGATTGTTTTGAGTTCTTTATATATTCTAGATAAGAGTCCTTTGTCTGAGGAGCAGCTGGTAAAAAATTTTTTCCACATTGTAGGTTGTCTTTTAGTTATTTTAGTGGTTTCTTTTGTAGTGCAGAAGCTTTTTAATGAAATGAGGTTCCAGTTGTTGATTCTTTCTGCTAGCTCCCATGCTACTGAGGATTTGTTCATAAAGTCTTTTCCTATGCCAATGTCTTCAAGAGTTCTGCCTAATTTATCTTCCAGCAAGTTTAGTGTTTCTGTTTTAATATTTAGATCTTTACTCCACTTGGATTTTACTTTCGTGCATGGTGAAAGATAAGGGTCTAGTTTTAATCGTTGGCAGGTTGAAATCCAGTTTTCCAACACCGTTTATTAAAGAGTCTTATCTTGTCTCCAGTGAAGACGGTTGGCTCCTTTGTCAAAGATGAGGTAGCTAAGTACATTTGGAGTTGTTTTGTATCTTCCAATCTGTTCCACTGATCCTCAGGTCTTTTTCTTTGCCAGTTTTTATCACAGTGGCTTTGTAATATAGTTTCAGATTGGGAATTGTTATACCCACTGCCATGTCTCAAACAGAGATTCTTGAAGAAGGGTAGAAGGGAGGGTGACATAATCAATGTCAGATATATGCAATTATAGAAGTGATACAGTGAAAACCATTAATTTGTGCAATGAATACATGATAATAAAAATAATCTTTAAAAATAAATGCAGGTTTTCAGTCCCTGTCCTAGAAAGCCTAGAAATATATTTTAACAAGATGTCCAGGGAAATTATGGTCCCATCAAGGTTTAAGAAGTGTTGTTTAAGAGCTTGTAAAAATGCAGGTTCTGATCCACAGCCTACCGTGTGTCCTGGCTGCTGAGCCCTCATTGCTTCCTGACTGGACATCTGAGCTTGCTGAGCTGAACACCAGGTGCCCCTGTCATCTCTTCTGCTCACCCAAGTTCCACAGCACATCCGTGTAGCACCCCCACCCCCACGCCCACCATGTGGGCCTTCCAGCCGAGCTGTGGCCCCTCCTGACGCCCCTCCTAACAGGCCTACAGAGTTTGTTGATTGAGGCCTAGGCAGCAGCCACTGGTTCCCTGACTCCCACTTCTGGCCCATGTCCTCCGTCCGTCTTCCACATGCCAGAAATCACTGTCTTGGCACCGAGGATTCAATGGGTCACCTAACAAATAAAAACCAGTCTTACCTCTTTACAAAGCAATTTGGCAATACATTTTAAGAGCCAAAATATTTATATATCTTGATCCAATAATCCTCCTCCTGTTGAATTATTTATGTAAATTCCCCAAAGGAAAAAAAAAGAAATAGCTCAGATACAAAAGTCTTCTGTGGAGAATTATTCACTCAGTAAATATTTATTGAGCACCTCCTACATCCAGACACAGTTCTAGATGGTACATATAATCAAGGTTTCTGTTTTCTTGGAGATTCTAATTGTAGGGGTAGAAAAAAAATAAGTACCTATATAAGTTTTTTAAATAATATATTTACTACATTCTCTGCAGATAATTAAAATAAAGGTCTGTGACAAAATAAGTGGGTGGGCTATTCTAGTGGTTAGGGAAGGTCTGTCAGATGTTACTAGGAAAAGAGACCTTTAAACTGAGATTCTCATGACAAGAAGGAGCTGCTCTATTTGGGTCCAGGAGAGGGCGTTCTAGAAGGGGACCTGGTGAAGGTAAAAACCCAGTGATCCAGGGAAGGTAAGAAGGCTGGTGTGGTTGGGTCAAAGGAAACAAGTGATGGAGCCTGGTGGGGTGGTACATGCCTGTATTCCAGAAACTTGCGAGGCTGAACTAGGAGGACCTCAAGTTCAAGGTCAGCCTGGGCAACTTAGTGGAACAAAATAGTGCAGCTTTTCTGGTGAAAAGTGATAGCAGCTTAAATAAAATGATAGAAGTAGAGATGAAGAAAAATGGATGGGTTCAGGATAACTTTGGAAGCGAGGCTGAAAGGATGTGCTGAAGGAATTGAGATAGGGTGATAAAAGTGGAAGAATCACAGATTATGCATGGATTCTTGGCTTGAGCCTCTATCAGTACCATTTAGACAACTGGAGAAGACCAGAGAAGGGGAAGATTGAGTGACATAGGAAAGAAGAGCTCATGAGTCAACTGTGCCCCCCTCAAAAAATTACGTTGAAATTCTAGCCCACATTACCTTATAATGTGATCTTATTTGGAATTAAATTGCCACAGACACCGTTAGCTAAGGTAACATGGGGTCATCCTGACATGGGGCATACCCTTCATCCGGTGGGACTCGTGTCCTAAGAAGATGAGGAACTTTGGACACAAAGACAGAGACACGCAAATGCCATGTGAAGACACAGACACTGGAGAGAAGACAGTCACGTGAAGACAGAGGCAGAAACTGGAGTGATGTGTCTACAGGCCAAGGAATGCCAAGAATTGCCACCTGTCACCAAAGCAAGGAGAGCCACATGGACCAGACTCCCCCACAGTTCTTAGAAGGGATCGGTCCTGTTTACATTTTGGTTTCAGGCATCTAACCTCCAGAACTGTGAAAGAATAAATCTCTGATGTTTCAAGCCACACGGTTTGTGGTAAAGTAATACAAGAGAAGATGAAAAGTTTCTCTTTGAGCCTTGGTACATTTGAGAAGACTTAGATACCCTGGTGGTGATATTAAGTAATTAGACACGTAAGTCTAGAATTATGGTATATAAAGCAATGCATTACACTGTATTGGAGGTATCTTTAAGTGACATATAAAATTATGACATATAAATGATGTCCTCAAAGGGGGAAATAATTGCATAAATGATGGCTATACATTCCATGAAATATTATGCCACTTCTTAACAGAACCGTGGTAAAACCAGTGGCTGCCACTAGGTAATAAATATAAAATGGATCAGAAGCAGGTGTTAAACTGCTCCAGCTCTTCTTGATGGCCTGGGATACATTGCATGTCTGTCCTGCAGGTTACATCCTTCAGTATATTTGTAGTGCCAAGGTGAGTAGACACAGGGTTGAGTTGCAGAGTGCTGAGATGGCAGAACAAAGAAGCAATTAGAGCAGACATTGAAGTAGACAAGATTTTTCTGGAAGAGCTGACCTCCAAAAAAGCAGTGCATAGCCCAGGGCAGGTGCTTCCAGGAGCCAGACATCATCATGGCAGACTCAGTAAAGATCAGTGAGCACTCTCTGGGAACACACCCACATCAGAGCTTACCACACACTTCGGACAGCTGGCCTGTGTCCCCGAGCCCACTGTGAACAGGGCTATCAGTTTGTTCCTCTGTTTCCGAAGAGGAAGACCTTGTGCAGGTAGGTATAAATTAAAGTCTGTGACATTGCAGCCCTAGGATCCAGTGGTACCTTTAGTTTCCTCCCGCATGGGACAAACCCAAGGGCCTTCAAACTAGATCATCTGTGCATGGCCCACTTCCTGTCCTCAGGAGCAGCATATTTTGCCCAAACCAGCTCTGGGAGTTGAGACTCATCCCAGCAGAGCCACCTCACCTTTATTCTGT